ACAGGAAGACAAGCACTTGAATGACCTAGTGAATGGGGGTTTAATGATGCTGATGTGCTATATGAAATGTGGACAAATTGAATTTGGGTTATTCCCAGTCCTGAAGTCATCTCTCTCATTAAACTGTCAATAAGTTGGGTTATTGTTGTTTACAGTTCTTCTAATGTGTCCCACTTTTTTTTTAAGCTGCTTAAGGAGATATCTAGGAAACGCAGAAGCATCCGTTATGGGAGAGAAGTTGAATTAAAGCCATATATTGCTGCTCATTTTGATGTTCTTCCCACTGAATTCACCCTGGGGGATGACAAGCATTATGGTGGATTTACAAACAAGCAGCTTCAAAGTGGTCAAGAATATGTCTTCTTTGTGTTAGCTGTGATGGAACATGCAGAGTCTGTAAGTTATTTACGATAGCATGTGTTTCCTATGGTCTGCTTATACATTTTACTGGAATATGGTTATTTGGGGATATGTAGATATATGTCCATTCTAATTATTTCTCATGAGTTGTCCTTAACTAAGTTTAATATCAGGCTGCCCACTCTTTGAACATTGCTGAGTATACTGCTTGACATTGCATTAGAAACAAGACCGTGCTTCTCATGACGGAGAATTTAGGTGGACTTATAGTACATGAAGTGCCAGATTGATAAGACATAGTTCTTGAGATCTTTCAACGTAACACACATAACATGGTATTACAGCCATCACTGTTTACAATCGCCTTTCCTCATCCTTTTAAAAATGACTGTTTGCCAAAAAAAAAAAAAAATTTTCATCTTGCCTAATACCTGATAGACATTAGCCTATGTGATTACAGTGGGAACTAACAAGCTCTGCAGGGTAAAGGGCATTAAGAAAAAATCACGATTTGTAATAATAATATGCTTATAATAAATAATATTTAAAAGAATCCTGAAAAAAATAAACAGTGAATATTTTTTAATTTAATAAACTCTACATTATCACTTTAAAAAAATACTATATTTCCAGGTATTCAAAAATATTGACTTTGGAGGTGATTGTATTTATTCTCCTATAACTGCCAGGTAGACCACAATGCCTCTACCCAGATTCACAGAGAAGGTCTGTCTAGGAGGAGGCAAGCACAGCCGGCTTCTTTAATTATAGCAATTTACGAGTGACTTTATCAGTGAAAAGCCAAGAAAGTTAGGAAATAATTCAATAAAACAGAGAATTCCTAAGGTACTCTAAATAATGAGTTGTCTTTTATGTAATTCATCTTGCTCTTATGTCGTTTTATGCTTCAGATGCTTTGAATGTTTAAAAAAAGAGAGAACTAAAGAAATTGTAGATGAAAAGGCAGGTTGGATTTTGTAGTGGCAGTTCACATTAACATTTAATGTACGTTTTCTAAACTGTATCTTTCTGATCAGGGCCTAAATCTGACAGGCGTGGCAACTCTGAGCCAGTGACTTCCCGTTTGTAAGAAGCCCACTTTTTATCAAAGGTTTCTCCACATTCAGGTGTTAGCATGTACAGCGGGGACTCTTTTCAAATGACTGGAGGAATTCCCCTGTGGAAAATCAAAACACAAAGGCAGCCTCTCTGCCTGGTTTACCTTTGTGCACAGAATGTCATTTGAAAACAAAGTGACGGCCTTCCTGGAATTTTAATGTATGGATATGCTTTCTCTTTCTAGTGGAAGGTTTTAAGGTGGAACATCAAAGGAATGAAATATCGGAAATCATCTTTTTCTTCTTTTAAAAGAATAATTTTCAGATATTTGAGAGGAATTTTCTTTAAATAGCTCTAGGAATGTTTCAAAAAGCACATTCACAGCATTGAGGTAGATCAGAGAATCTAGCAAAAAAGAGAAATCTCATCTGATCAGGCAGGTTGTATCACTCTCAGAGACACTGCTATCTAAAGTCTCCCAGATATTTCCACTAGTGTTTAAATGGGTCACCACTGATGAAGAATCCACCCCTTCCCTTAGTATGTCTTCTCATTTTTTTATTAATTATAAAATTAGAATTTTGTTCCAAATATGTTATCTTTTTCAACATTGCTCTCAAAGTGAGCAGCATTTCTTTTATGTTTCATATATATTTTCAGGCCAGCATTTACTTTATAGAAGAGACTTGTATCCAACTAGTATAGTGTTTGTAATGATATAGTTCTTTTGTTAAGTCTCAAATTTTCGTGACATTGTTAATAATGTTTGTAACCACTACAAGAGTGGATTAGTAATTTGCAGAGAGAAAATATTCCCGATCCCTTCTCCCACAGAGACATGAGCTTTCCCCCAAACCATTGTCTCAAGTTCAGAATATCAGAGAACTGGTTTAGAATGATCTAAAGTTTCACCTCTTCTATAACTCCCTCACACCTTACAAATTCAGCTTTTCATGATGCTGGTATCGTTTTTATGGCTTTGTTTTCTTTTCATTTG